CGGGGGGGAACGCTGTGCTGTGCGGGTGGTGTGCCGAATTGGGTTTCCGGGACGCGTGCGGACGGTCCCACTGAGGGCTTCGGTGGAGCTCCCTATGGGGCCACGAAGCGCTCACGAAGCGCTCTACTGAGTGAGTGAAAATGCCAAATTGGGTTACCGGGACGCATGCGGACGGTCCCACTGGGGGCTTCGGTGGAGCCCCCTATGGGGCCACGAAACGCTGCACTGCGCGGGTGAAAATGCCAAATTACATTTCCCCGACGCATGCGGACAGTGGCGCTGGGGCCTTGGGTGGAGCCCCCTATGGGGCCACGAAACGCCGCACTGGGTGGGTGAAAATGCCAAACTGGGCTTCCGGGACGCATGCGGACGGGGGCACTGGGGCCTTCGGTGGAGCTCCCTATGGGGCTACGAAGCGCTGTACTGGGTTGGTGAAACGCAGGGAGGAGGGGGAGGAGGGCCACGAAACGCTGTACTGGGTGTGCGGGACGCATGCGGACAGTAGCGCTGGGACCTTCGGTGGGGCTCCCTATGGGGCCACGAAACGCTGTACTGGGTGTGCGGGACGCATGCGGACAGTAGCGCTGGGACCTTCGGTGGGGCTCCCTATGGGGCCACGAAGCGCTGTACTGGGTGTGCGGGACGCATGTGGACGGTAGCACTGGGACTTTCGGTGGGGCTCCCTATGGGGCCACGAAGCGCTGTACTGGGTGGGTGAAACGCAGGGAGGTGGGGGAGAGGGCCACGAAACGCTGCACTGGGTGTGCGGGACGCATGCGGACGGTAGCCTTGGGACCTTCGGTGGAGCTCCCTATGGGACCACGAAACGCTGTACTGGGCGTGCGGGGCGCATGCGGACGGTAGCGCTGGGACCTTCGGTGGGGCCCCCTGTGGGGCTACGAAACGCTGTGCTGGGTGTGCGGGACGCATGCGGACGGTAGCCTTGGGGCCTTCGGTGGGGCTCCCGATGGGGCCACGAAACGCTGCACTCGGTGGGTAGAACGCAGGGAGGAGGAAGAGGAGGGTCACGAAACGCTGCACTGGGCGTGCGGGACGCATGCGGACGGTAGCCTTGGGACCTTCGGTGGAGCTCCTTATGGGGCCACGAAGCGCTGTACTGGGTGTGCGGAACGCATGCGGACGGTAGCACTGGGACCTTCGGTGGGGCTCCCTATGGGGCCACGAAACGCTGTACTGGGTGTGCGGGACGCGTGCGGACGGTAGCGCTGGGACCTTCGGTGGGGCTCCCTATGGGGCCACGAAACGCTGTACTGGGTGGGTAGAACGCAGGGAGGAGGAAGAGGAGGGCTACGAAACGCTGCACTGGGTGTGCGGGACGCATGCGGACGGTAGCCCTGGGACCTTCGGTGGAGCTCCCTATGGGGCCACGAAGCGCTGTACTGGGTGTGCAGAACGCATGCGGACGGTAGCACTGGGACCTTCGGTGGGGCTCCCTATGGGGCCACGAAGCGTTGTACTGGGTTTACGGGACGCATGCGGACGGTAGGGAGGAGGGGGAAGAGGAGGAGAAGGAGGAACGCGGGGACCGTCTCTTCAAAACGAGACCCAACACCACGGGACGGGATGGTTGGGAAATACAACGCCACAAGCCTGGGGCACAGGCTCGCCCTGCCGAGCGCTGGTGGACGTGTCCAGGTTCTTTTTGCGGACGGACGCCGAGGCGATGACGATGACGATGACGATGACGATGACGACGACGTCGTCGTCGTAGCCGTCGTCGCAGGGATGCTCATCGCAGAGGCGCCAAGCTGATCAGGCCTCGCGGTTGGCGGACGAGGCGCGGGAGCGGTCCTCCTCGGGGTGACCCCCCCCCCGGACGCGCAGGTGCTCCGCTCTGGGCAGAGCGCAGGGCGCTGAGTGAGGTGCCGCAGGAGAAACCATCCTGAGAGCGAGGGGGCCGAACGGTCGTTCACTGTTCCTGGGCGCGTGGCCGAGTGTCAAGCCCGACTCAGGTCGACGAACTTTCGACGCAGCACCGCTCCTCCTCCTCCTCCGCCTCCGCCTCCGCCTCCGCCTCCTCCTCCTCCTCCTCCTCCTCCTCCTCCTCCTCCTACTCGCTCGTCCTCCTCTTCTTCCTCCTCCTCCTCCTCCTCCTCCTCTTCCTCCTCCTCCTCCTCTTCCTCCTCCTCCTCCTCGCGGGGCTGAGTGTCACGCCCGACTCAAGCCGACGAGCCTTCGACGCAGCACCGGCGCCAGCTCGAGGGGCCTGCGCCCCCCTGGGGGCGGGGGGGGGGGGGGCTGACGGCGAGGCCTCCGCACCTCGGGTGGAAGAGGACGGAGGAAGGCAGCCAGGGGAGGCTGGAGGGAGGGGGGGAAAGTGGAAGGGAGGGGGTCGGAGAGGTGGAAGGGAGGGGGTCGGGAAGGGAAGGTGGAAGGGAGTGGGGTCGGAGAGGGTGGAAGGGAGTGGGCTGGGAAGGTGGAAGGGAGGGGGTCGGGAAGGGAAGGTGGGAGAGAGGGGGCCGAGGGCGAAAGCAGGGAGAGGATGGACGGAGGGGGGGGAAGGTGGAAGGAGGGATGGACAGCAGAGGAAGATGGACATAAACATAACATCTCGGAGGTCCGCGCGGATTTCTCGGATCCGCGCTGGACCCCCCTGGCGGCGCCTCCGGCACCGCCCCTGGCGCGCGGAGCGCGCCAGGGAGGGGGGTCCAGCGCCGATCCGAGAAATCCGCGCGGACCTCCGAGTTTGTATGCTTGTGTCATTCTTCCTTCCTTTCCCAAATGGAGGGAGGACGGAGGGATGGACGGAGTGACGCCAGGGAGGTCCCCAGAGCCAGAAGGTATCGAGCGTTCCCTGCTCGCAGCTCGGGCTCGCGCGCCCGCAGAATAGTCGGAGGTCTCGGCTGCCTGGGCGGCGGCCGCACTGGGAAGAAGCCGCTGCGCATCTCGCGTCTCCCTCGGCGCCCTCGCCTCGACCGCCTCAGCTTTGCCCTCTTCCCCTCGACGCTGCCTCCTGCCTGGACTCCTCCTCCCCTCCGCTTCGCGGGCGTCCCCTCCTCCGCCTCTTTCTCCTCCTCCTCCTCCTCCTCCTCCTCCTCCTCCTCCTCCGCCGCCTCCTCCTCCTACCCCTCCTCCTACCCCTCATCCTCTACCTTCTCCTCCTCCTCCCACATTTGGCGACGGCATCCTTGGCGGACGACGAATGACGACGTCCCTCGAGTCGGCATTCCACCGGCCGCCCTCTCGCGCTGCTCCTCTTCTGTTGCCGCCATCTTCTCAGGGGCAACATTCGTGAGGTAGGCTCAGGGGGGGATGCATCGACCCCTAATCGCCTACTCATCGCCGATAGGCGGGCCCTGTAGCCCACTCCACCCAGGATCGTTCGGATTCGCTACCTTGGGCCTATCGCCGATGTATCGGCGATGTATCGTCGATTCCAGGTTGATGACCCCCTCATTCCTCACCAGTGGTCGCCGCGAGTCGGGCAGGGGGCAGTCGCCTTTATGAGCAGGGGTCCTGACGGCAAGGGGTCTGGAGGCTGTTCGCTGTTGTGGCTTCGGGTGTTCCGCGATGGGGGGCGATATGGGGATCTGGAGCTGCAGGGAATGGCCCCCCTGGGACCCCGACTGTGTGCGACAGGTGCACGTCCCCCCCCCCCCAAGGAGCAACGCCCAATGGCACCGCCACGACGGACACAGCACAGGGGCAACGCCTAGAGCGTGCAGAGAGGGCCCTCCTCCTCCTCCTCATGCTCCTCCTCCTCTTTCTCCTCCTCCTCCTCCTCCCCTTTTTCTCGTCCTCCTCCTCCTTCGCCTCCTCCTCCTCCCTCTTTTCCTCCTCCTCCTCCTCCTCCATTCCTTCTTCTCATAGATAGCTTGTCAGCTTGTTCCTGTCGCACCCCGAGGCCAGTTTTCAGGGCGGGCCGGGCGTTTCGCCGGAGACTTCCTGACCATTTATGATTCTGAAATTACAAAGTGGCAACAGCTTCACAGATGGAGGGCGGGTCGCTTTCCAAGTGTGGCTCTCGCCTTAGCGCCGAACACATTCGTTTTTTAGATGTCCAAGAGTTTCACGGATTGAGGGCGGGTCGTTTTCAAAATGTTCGCGGATTGAGGGCGGGTCGTTTTAAAAATGTGGTTCGCGCCTCAGCGTCGCGCACATTCGTTTTAAATTTTTGCAAGTGTTTCGCGGATTGAGGGCGGGTCGTTTTCAACATGTGGTTCTGGCCTTAGCTCCGCGCGCATCCGTTCAAACAATTTGCAAGAGTTTCACGGATTGAGGGGAGGTTCTTTTTAAATTGTGGTTCTCGCCTTCGCGCCGCGCACATCCGCTTGCAAATTTGCAAGAGCTGCACGGATAGAGGGCGGGTCGTTTTCAAATTGTGACTCTCGATTTAGCGCCGCGCACCTTCGCTTGCAAAAGTTGCAAGAGTTTCACGGATTCCCATGATCAACGTACCAGAAGCGGCGTTTTCGAAGAATTCAGGATTATAGGGGCGCAACAATTATGTTGATTCGCGGTGTTCGAAGTCCAAACAATGGCGTTGTGGCACGATTCCGGATCGTCAAGACGCAGCAGTCAGGTTGATACGTGGCGTTGAAATCCAGAGAGCAATGTGTTGGCACGCTTCAGGATCTTCAAACGGCTGTCTTCCAACGAGGCAGTTTCCTCAATGGAAATGAACGGTTGTAGGGACCTACGAAGAGGGAACTTGGAGGGAGAGTTCATTCCAACATCGTTAATGACTCTTGGGTTTACACTGGTCCTCCTCCTCCTCCTCCTCATCCTCCTCCTCCTCCTTCTCCTCCTCCTCCTCCCCCACCCCTTCCCCTATTGCCCCGTCCGGGGGATCAAACGCCCGATGGGCGGACCCTTCCCCGCGCCCAGGGATCGTCCAGAGCTGCTCGGGATGCAAGGGTGGCCTCGGGAAAGGCCCCCTCCTCCTTCCTCCTCCTTCTCCTCCTCCTCCTCCTCCTCCTCGTCGTCCTCCTCCTCCCCTCCCTCCTCCTCCTCCTCCCTCCTCCTCCTCCCCCCCCTCCTCCTCCTCGTCCTCCTTCCTCCTCCCTTCCCCTCCTCCTCTCCTCCTCCTCCTCCTCCTCCCTCCTTCTCCCCCTCCTCCTCCTCCTCCTCCCTGCTCCTCCTCCTCCCCCTCCTCCTCCTCCTCCTCCTTCTCCTCCTCCTCCTCCTCCTCCTCCTCCTCCCCCCTCCTCCTCCTCCTCCTCCGCTTCCTCCTCCTCCTCCTTCCTCCTGGGGACAGCTTGCGCTAGGCCAGGGTCTGGTTCACTGCGACCAGGGCCTCGGAGAAAATGTTGGACTCGTCTGGTCCTGGGGCTATTTCTTCTGGCTCATCTGGCCAATGCTTCCTGTTGGAAGGGAGGAGCCCCTTAGATAGCTTGGCTATCGCCCTTTTGCCAGCGCCCGCGGACGTTGAAACGCAGGTGCCTCGAACAGCCACACACCTCGCACCACCAGAGCCCGTGCAGGCACCGAATCTTGTGGGACCCGTGGATTGGGTGGGGAAAGCCCGCACAGGGAGAGCTCAGCCACGAATTCAACGGAAGGACTCTGGTGGGTGCCGTGAGTCACCGCTGGCAGAAAGAAATTCCATTCACGCGGACTGAAAACTGATGGGCAGTGGCTTCACGGGCATTCAATCGAGCGGCCACCCTCTCATCTTGTCGGGCTCGCTTTGCTGCCACTGAATCCCCTAAAGCCCCTGGCGCGTGAGCATCCTTATCCCGAGCTTTGGCCTCCTCCAGGCCGGCAGCAAGCAGTTGGTCCAGAACGCGGGAGGCCAAATCGCCAACCCGAGCAACTTCGGCCAAACCGTCTTGGGGCAGGCTGGCTAAGGTTGCTCCGCGCTTGGCCGCTAGGTCGGCCGCTTCGTTCACTCAAAACTCTGCTGCCCCCACTTGGTGGCCAATATCAGCTTCGGTGAGGTGGCTCTTGATCTTACGAAAAGTGGCCTGTCCAGACCTCTGGTGATATTCGTGCCAGCAACGGGCCCAGGCTGCGTCTTGCAGGGGAGGGACATTTCCTGGGCCAGCTTAGATCGCTTTCAAGAAGTAGGCGCACTCAACCACAGAAGCTCCAGGCCCCGAGGTCTGACGCTGGGCCTGGGTCAGGACTTCGAGTTCCGCGAGGGGCACCGCCTGGCGCCTTCCAAGGATCGGTCCCCAGGCAGTCCCCTGTACACCCCGTTAAACCGAATCGCGAAGCCCCATCCACATCTACGAAGCCTCACATCATTCGGATGGTCACATCCACTCCAATCAGCTCCTACATAAGCCCCTAGGGGTAGTTCAGGGCGAACTCCTTCCTCAATGACTCAATACTTCCTTCGCCTGGAAATCCCACTCTGGCCATTTGTCCACGTGCGGGTATACCCACATGACAGGGACGAGTCCTCGGCGCCAGAAGCATGGCCAGTCCTCGTGCTCCCCGTGGACTTGCGGGAGCAGGTCGATCGCCGTCCTTTCGGACGGTTGATGGCAAGTACACGTCCATTGTTGTTGTAGCAGGTCTTCTGCTGGCAGCGGGTGGACTCGGGCAGCGAGGCATCTGGGGCATCCTTGCTTGTCTGACTCCTGATCATATCTCCTGGTCCCTGGCCACAGCGCTCCCGTTGCAATCAGGTCTAGCATGGCCGCGTGGCCGTGCATATGCTGCCTTCGGGGTTTCCTGAGCTTCCGCTGGGGTACTGTTAGGTCAGCGCCGTATCCTGAGCCTTTACCGCAGAAATGTTTTGAATCTTGGTCGTTCCAGATCTGCTGCTCCAGGGACCCCTCGAACTCCGCCAAGACGCATTTTTTCACCCTGGATCCGAACCCGAGACAGCTTCCAGGTAGAAGGGGGCTCGCTCTGGCGGGGCCTCCGTGGGCAGCAGGTAGAACTTTTCTCCGTGGGGCGCTTTCCATTGCCAGTGTAACTGAGGGTCCCACTGATTCTGGAGGAGGGTGATGATGAGTGAGCTCATGGGCCCTGTGGCCCGTCCATAAAGGATTGGCGGCCTCACGCATAACGCTGACGCACTTCCTCCAATCGGCTGCTAGGGCGGCTCTCTCATTCATCAGCCTGGGCAGGATGTTCAGCCAGGCTTTGATCATGTCTAAGCGGGCGAAATAGAGCGGGTCACCTTTACATCCAGGGCCGAGACGTAGGGCTACTGTTGCACCTCCTCCAGCTCTCTGTTTCCCCGAAATGGCGGCCGTCTTAGCTCCCAATTGCTTAAGTGCAGTCGGCGGGGCCTCTTGCGCCATTATTCCCCGGGATCCTTGCGGTTTGACACCGGTGAGGTTGAGTTTGCTGGCTTGCTTGTTGGCCCGAACCAGACGTCTTACCCTCTCGGCCCTGGCAAAAACTTTCCTGAGACGTGTCCTAGCCACCATTGTGGACCGCCTCCGCGATGAGAAATCCAGTCCTAGGTCATGCACTTTGCTAGCTATCTGCACATGGATTCCAGCCCGTGCGAGCGCTCGGTGGACGTACTTCACGAGGTTCCTTTGGCTCCTGAGGAGTTGGGATTTCCTGGATAACTTGATGCCCCTGGCTGTCATGGCTTCGACGAGGTCCTGGGCTCCTTGGATGGTGAGGCGTTTCACCATCTCCTGGGAGCCCCTGATCGAGAGGGAGAGGTCGCCCACCCGCGTGCTGAGCTCCATAGGCCGAAAATGTGCACGTGCATTGGCGAGCATGTCGTGCAGGTATGTGCGTGTCCATGCGACGCTCTGCATGCACCCCTGGAGGATAGATCTCTCAACGCTGATGTAGTCGGAGGCCTCGAGGCCCACAGCGAGGACCCTGCCTGCGGCGTGCACGCACATGCCCATGAACATGGCATGCACAGGGTACTCGAGTCGTTTCCTTAGCGTGTAGATCCTAAAAGGGCTGAGCGTGTCGAACAACTTTTCAGCATCTAGCTGCAAGACGGCCCAGTCTATGGACAGCCAGGAGGCGGCCTCGGCCATGGCGATCCGAAGGAGGGCGGCTTTCAGCGGGTCGGACCCTCGGACGGCGGCATGCCAGAACCCCGCTTTGGCTTTCTCCCATCGGACGACAGGATCTTTTCGCAGTCGGGACCAGGTGCGGTAGTGTCCTTGGGTTCTGGTGGTTGAGCGGTCTCCTTCCCCGGTGGGTTTGGGATGCATGCCAACTTCATTGAGTGAAACTTGCTCTGGCCAAGCACACTGGCTCTCTATGTCATATGTCAGGGCCGTGAGTTCGCAGCGCGTTTCCTCTGGCAGGTTCCACCGAAGCAGCGGGTTCCACTGATCGGCTCCCATGCCCATTGAAATAGGGAAAGACGTGCAGGCTGCAACGACATCAGATTGGGAGAAGGGAGGCAGGTCTGGCACAGCGGCTTGGGCATCTGCTCGAAACTGTGCCCACCACTCCTGGGATGTCGGGTGTCCTAGTCCTGCGGGGTCTGACCTGAGGGAGAGCTCCATCGCTTCATTGTTACGGCCAAAGCGTCCGAGGGGTCCCAAAGAGGATCTCCGTCTCCGTCAGTTTCTTGCGCTGGTATGGCTTGCGGGTCGCCCCATTCTTTGGTGTGCCAATGGGCCCATTTCGCCCCCCCTCGGAGGCTCTGGGTTAGCCGCTGTTGGAAACCAGCTTGTTTGCCACGACAGGCTTCGCGGTCGGCAATGGCGTGGAGCTCCATGCAGGCCTTCAGGAGGGACCTCAGATCCTCGGGAATCCTGGTGGCCAGCTCCTGGGCCATGGCTTGAATTTCCTGGATCCGCTGGGGCGTGTACTCGGTGTTGTCCTGGGAGCCCTTGGGGTGCTTGCACTCCGAGATGTTCCCAGGTACAGTTCCAAGATAGCGCTCCACCTCTTGTCTCTTAGAGTCCTTGGCTGGACTCGTTTTCCCGATCCTGAGCCCGAGGAGGTCCTGGATCCTGGCGACGCTGTTCTACCAGAAAGCGAGCTTGTGCGTCCCGCCCGTCTGCCCCGCAAGAAGCGGTGGTTCCACTGCCTTCCTAGCGGTTAGCTTCGGCGCCGACCCTCGTCGGCGCGGGCATCGCGGGCCTCCGCTCCGCGAGGCGTGGGGGTCGTCGGCGGCGCTGGCGAAAAGACGGCACCCGGCCGTTAGCGTAGGATCAGTACAGGGCTGGGCAACGACGTGCCCGGCTGGGCTCGCGTCTTCCGCGGCCTGGGCCCTGTCTTCGTGGGTTCCCCAGGCCCGGCTGGGGCCTTGCATTTCCAGGGGTGGCCTGGTCGGTTCCGCGAGTACGTCCCTGCGAGGCGGCATTCGGTCCTTACATGCGGCGCTGCCCGCGGGCCCTGCAGGTCGCACTGGAGAGTGAGGTCGGGGGCCAGGTGGGAGGAGACGAGCCCGAAGTCGATCACCCCCCTCCCGAACTCCCTGGCAGCCCCTTCGGGAACAAAACCGAAACGCGCGTCGAGGGAGTCTTCGATCCCCGACTGTCTGATTTCCGAGGCTTCCATGCTCCAGTCGGCCATGATGATGAAAGGGACCTTGGAGGCCTGGATTTTACATACCATCTCCTCGAGCATCTGCACATTGCCCCCCGAGAGGCCCTCCCCGAACGCGAAATAGGCGGAGAAAACGAGGACTGTAGTATTGCGAAGGCGCACCTTTCGATCTGCCCATATTCTCTGGCCTGCGGCTGGCTGGGATCACTCGGTCCGTTGCAGGCGGATGGCTCTCGTGCTCAGGTGTGCGCCAGCCGCGACCCATACTCCACCTCGCCCGAGATCCTCCTGGGCCTGGGTAGCGTTTGCGGGGCGGGCCTCAACCTTCCAGTGGCACTGGCCGAGCTTCCGAATCGCCGCGTGCTGCTGCGGGCCTCGAAGATGGGTCCCGGCTCCCAACTGGATGTGGTAGCCTGCCTCCCGCAGCGCGTTGATGTGATCGAAGCCTACATCAGTCCACTTCGTGTAGTTCGCGAAATAGAAAAGTATGTCATCTGTAGCATGGCTGCGATAGCGTTGTAGGCGCTTCCCATGCTCATCGGCATTCCGAGCACGCATGTGGCAACGAGGGCCGTCGCGTGAGGCCAGCCGAGGGGCAAGG